GGTTCTAGCTAGTAAGGATCTTGGGAATAAACCTGGGAACAACCAGGGATGATCCCAAATAATTCCAAGCAACAGAACCAACCTGGCTGGACAAAACAGCAGGTGGTAGGTTGGCAAACAACCTTTGGTTCTGTTTTTCGAACCTGGGAAAACAACAACCAGGTTCAGGTCCTAAAAAACAGAACCTGATTTGTTTTTGCCCAGCCAGCCAAATGATGGTTCCGCTGGTTTCCCCTGGCCCTGTAGCATGCAGATACAGACAAACAACATCCAACCTTCACCTAAATTGTACCCCTATAGTGCCTGCCCTGCTACACTATAGTCAACCAAACAAAACAGTACAATTTCGAGTTGGATAGAACTGAATCTGCGCAATCAATTCAACCGAACCGCAAAGCTTCCATCTTGGGTTCCTTTGCGAGCTCGTCCTTTCTGCTTGTACTGTTCATAGCGCGTACAATGTTGTGCCAAAGCGCACAATGCGCGAGTACCGGGGCCGTGGCTGCACAGGAGCTTCGCTGGCTCACCTACCTGCTGACTGACCTCGGAGAGCCGCCTCGTTCTCCTCCAGTGCTGTACGTAGACAACAAGGCCATGCTGGCCTTGTGTCGAGAGCAGAGACTGGAGCACAGAACGAAGCACATTGCTCTCCGCTACTTTCTTGCTCGTGAGCTGCAGCAGCGTGGTCAGCTGCGTCTTGCGTACGTGGCCTCTGAGGCCAACACTGCTGATATCTTCACCAAGGAGCTTGCGCCTTGTGATCATCAGCGCTTCTGTACTCAGCTGGGTCTTGTGCCTACCTTGCCTCACTTGCTCACCTCTTGACCTTGCTTGTACTGTTAAATATATATATACACCTGCTCTTGCTTGTCTAGCCTTTTATATATACATGTACTCCTGCATGTGAACTGGCCTTGTGGCCTTGACCTTGTGCTCGGAATGTGTGGTGAGTTTGTGATCCACCCTGAGCTTGCTTTGCTTTGCTTTGCTTGACTGGTCTTGTGACCCCTTGTACTCCCCCACTTTGCCTATGGGGGTGTGTCAGAACATTATAGCTAATGCTTTTGTGTAGGCTGTAGTGGGGTAGCCTATATGGGGTACAACCCAATTAGGGTTAGTACTTGTACCCAACTCTTTCATAGTGCATTCATTCTCGTTCTTTTTCACAGCACTCTCTGTGGCCCGGGTAGACTTAGCCAGTGAAGTGTTCGCCTGGCTCCTCTGCAGCGCTACCGACCAGCGCTGACAATAGTGAGGTATGAGTTTGGAGGCGACAATGGTAAGCCTCCCCTGCCTAAACTTCTATTTAGCGGCCTGTCTGCCCAAGAGCCATAGGAACTTTTGTGTGTCGCATGCGAAGGCTCCATATGTTTCCACCGCCAGCCCAAACACCCCCACAAAATCCGCCCGCCCCTCATATAATCCCCTTTTCCCTCTCGGTGCGTCCTCTGCCGCCCAGCCTGGCGGTTTCACTGCCCTAGTGTCTCGGCGCTGCAGCATGTGGTCGGTCACCGTGACGTCCATCACATACGTCTCGGCGGACTCCCTATCCTTGATGGCCAGATCTGCTCGCTTGGGGTTGATGGGTTGCGAGTAGACCGTGGTCTCATACAAGGTAAGGTAGTCCGCCTCCCTGGCCATGCGGAGTGCTGCATACACGAGGTTTTTGTTAGTGTTTGTCCTCTCCTTCCCCTCCCCGCACCGCAGCAGGTGGTTTGGTAAGCTCAGGTCCCCTATCTCCCCCCGCTCCCCGTGACACGGGCAGTTCTCAGCCACCGGCAGTGCCAATCCCAAGCGGAACCCCAGGGCCAAAGCAAACTAACCCGGCGAGAACGTAAGATCTGCCCGCGTGGGGATTGCATGAAGCCAGTCCCCCGCGCCTACCCCCTGGAGGCTGATCAACCGGTCCACATGCCAATTGTCCTCCCCAGGCTTGTCCATCTGCGTGTCGCCCACCAGCTCCGCAGCCCGGTTCAGGTTTATATGGCGCGACAGTTGCTCCTGCAGGCGGCCCCGTCCTCTCCTGCTGTCTTCCGACTCCCCTAGCAGCTCCCATGCTTCTTCGGGGAGTCTGTTCCGCAGGTCCCGAATTGACTCTCCTCCCCGTCCTGCCACTCCTCCCCCAAGTGGTGACACCAGCGACGCCACCTGCGACAGCTGGTGGTTCGGCGCGGGCGGCATTTGCTGTAGCAGCATCTGTGCTGCCCTTAGTGAAGCGAGGTATGCCGCCGGCGCCTCCGACAGTGGGTCTATCAGCTCCACATCGCCCAACGCGATGGGTAGCTAAGTTGGAATATATGCGTTTCGCGTTTTGTACGCATGCGTGTATACGCTAGAGTATAATACGTGATACGTCCACACAGGTTGTTCAAATACGCTTGAAATACGGAGGGGCGGGCAGGGTAAAAACATTTTCGGGCAGGGTAATATACTTTTTTTCTAGAGAGGGAAGGAGGGGAGGAGGGGAGGGTTCTATACACCCATAGTACCTATCCCCTCGGATTTTCCACGGCGGGTTTCGCGGATATTAATGGGTCCTTCCGCGGACGCAATCTGAACATATTCGCACTTGCAGGAGCGCTTGATATGGTAGACATGGCTGCAGCGGGTTAAGAAGCTTAGCGCGTGTTACAGAAAGCGATGCGTGAAAGTTGACTACGGAAATGAAGACTGCGTGGGTTAGGTCGACGAGCTCACCTTGTGTACGTGCCTGCATGGTGTGTGTGTCTTTCTTGGTGGGGATGGATAGGTTGGATCTGAGAGGTATGCTGAGATTCAATGCGGTGGAACCTATACAACTTTTGAGACCCAAATTGAGTTCGCGAGGTGCGAACAATTTTTTCCACAACGCAATTCGCGATTCCCGATTTTTAGGTTTTTTTTTTCGACGGGCTGCCTACCCGAAATTCAAGCGTTTTTCAAGCGTATCGCGTTTTTACGTATATACGCCAGCGCACAAACGCAATACGCCTGGCAAGCCAAGCGTATATTCCAACTTAGATGGGTAGTGTCGCCTGCCTCCACACCAGGCTTTGTTCCAGCTCCTTTGCAGGTACGTTGATGTTGGCTGCCCGTAGTGCTGTCCACAGCAACCTCTCGCTCCACCCTCGCCATTCTCGGACGAGGAGGACGTCCGCCGGCGTTGTGCGCAGGAGGTAGGAGATTCTGCGCGGTATGCATCGCGTCAGAAGCTGCATCGCGTGTTGTGGGTGCAGCTTGCTGACTAGGCTAAGCGGAAGGGCTATCCGCTCCAACAACGCTCTACGCGTGCGTCTGCAGTGCGCTTCTGTGCCTATCAGGCTCCCTAGGACCTGCACTCCGTCCACCGCTGCCGCCAATCCTTCCGGTAAGTCTGTTGTGTTTCCCGTGGGGTTCCAAGCCGACGACTTAGCGAGATTGCACCGCAGCCCCAGTCCAACGAGCCCCTGGATGATCATATCAAATGCCCTTGTCGCTCCCGCCGGCTGCCCGATGACAGTGATGTCATCTGCGTACGCCATCACTGTCACGGCCGGGACTGCTACCGCCGCCGCCAGCAGGGCCGGTTGTATGGCTGCTTCAAAAAGCATGGGGCCGAGCGGGTCTCCTTGCCTAATGCCACGGGTGCTGTCGATGGAGCTGACGGTGAAGCCTTTGTTGATGGCGCCCCATAAAGAGTTATTCCGAATGGCAGCAGCGAGCTCAGTCCGGCGGTCCACAGCAGTGTCGACAGAAAACTCCCGCGTTCGACCAAGTTGAAAGCATTTTCAATGTCCAGCTGTAATATTGTTCTCGTCGGGTCCTCCGCAAGCAGCGTACGGGCCGTGCGTATTATGCACTCCGCCCCCCCCGGTACGGCAGGAAGTGCGAGCGAATCTCCCCAGACAGTTCCCGTAGCGCCGCCTTTGCCGTCAACCTAAGAAGCGCCTCCCCAATTGGTATCATCCTCACTCCGCCGTCCGGCTTTTCCAGGGCGATTAGCCTCGATGGTAGCAACAGCTCCCTTAGCGGCGCGTCCTGGTATGTGCTGAGTAGATTATTGACTATTCGGTGCAGCAGTAAGAAGACCTCCCCGTTTGTTAGGGCAGGGTCACGTAGGTGTTCGAAGCAAGTGCCTGATGGGCCTGCTCCTATTCCATTTGGGCACTTCGCCAAGATGTCGCGGAACGAATCCATGCCAATGGCGAGTGCTGTTTCACCATAACCCCCCAGTCCTTCTGGTATCGCCACCTCCGCTCGGAGTGTTTCCAGTTCCTGTTGCGACGGCTTTGCCAACGGAGTGGTTTGTAACGCTGCCGCAGCTTTCGCCAAGTTGGCCTTCCGGACCAACCCCTCTACCCTTGCGCAGATGCCCTTTGCGTCTGGCTCGTGTCTGCTTGGTTGGGAAATGCCGGGGATGGTGCAGGCTTGGAGGTACAGTGAGCCCCAGTCTTCATCTCGGAATTGTCGAAGTTTTTTCTCCACTGCATCGAGGCTGTTTCCTGGCACTTTCTCCGTACTCGCCCTCAGTCTAAGCCGTGGCAGGAATTGCAGCACCCTCCAAGCGCCCATGCATTCCGGTTGTTTCGAGAGTCGCAGGAGGGGGATCGTCAGGCAGTAACTGTATGATTTCAGAATTTCCGGGGGAAGCTTCCTGACCAGGAATGGTTGGGAACTGGCTCGCAGTGGGTCCAGGTCCCAACTCTCGACCGCCCGCCATGTGTTATCATCGTCCGCGATGTCCTTTCGAGAGCGCTCCTTGGTGGCAAATTCATTAGTCTGCTGAGCTGGTGATTCGCCCACCTGTCCCGCCCCGTTAGGATTATTTCCATCTTGTACTCAGCGTGTGCCACATCGTCGTCTACCCTCGTTGCCAGCAGGGACCCAATCCTCATCCTCCACAGATACCTCTTCCGATTCGGCTTCTTCCTCTTCCATATAGTTTGACTCTTCTTCGTCCGCAGGGTCATTCATTGGTCCTTCGCTCTGCTCTTCTGGCCTCCCGTGCCATTCCCGCTAGTCTCCAGATCTGGCTTTTTCCTATGCTACGGCTCTCGCTAGCTCACCCACCCGTCCCCCTCTGCCCCGGCCCCTCCCACGCCCCCTCATGGCCGTGTTTCCCGCCGCGTTTTGCGGCTGCTGGCCCCTCGCCCTTTCTTCCGCCTGCTCTCGTAAGACCCTCTGCCTGCTGGTTTTGTTGTTTTGCCTTCGCCACGCTGCTATCAGAGTCGCTGCCCTTTCTTCTTCCTGGTTCTGCTCGAGTTGGTCCGCCATTTGGAGTTCCTCGTCCTCAGTTCCCCGCTCGTGCCGTCGCGCGTCAGCCTGACCTCCGTGTTGTCGCTGTTCCCCTGGATCCGGCTGTGCTTGCAGGTCCTGCCGCGATGACAGGCAAACGCCGCCGTTCCTCCCATTCGGACCGCGAGGTTGGTTCTGCCGCTCCCAGCCCGTCGAGGGCCCAGGAAGGGCTGGCGCCAGTCCTGCTCCGAGGCGCCGCTGCGCTGGTCGAGCACGAGGGGGCCAGGACGCCCGCGCGGCGTCGTGAGCCGATATATCGTTCTCCCCGCGGGCGGACTCACCCACACCCCCGGGCCCACGGTGGCTCGTTTCGTCGCCGCCGTCCGCCTCATCCTGCACCCGCTATCCAGCGGGAGATTGTAGGCCCTCTCCTTCAACCGCAGCCGTCATCCTTGCGCCTGGGTGCTTCGCCTGTGCAGTCGCCAGCCGTGTCGTCGCAGTCGTCGCGGCAGCTGACGTCTGGCGTCGCTGCGCCCCCTCCTCCGCTGTCGCCGGCTCTCCCTGCGCCGTCGGCCCCGCTCCCAGCTCCGCCACCCTCCTCACCTCCCCCCTTGGCGCCCCCTCCGTTGTCGTCGTCAGCCGGGGCACCCCTCGTGCCCCACCCCCCTTCTCAGCCTCCCTCCGCCTCTCTTCCTTCCGTCGAGCCTCCGCAGCGACAGCATCCTCTCGTTCCGTCAGGGCCTGCCCCTGAAGCTCGCTTTCCTCCTCCTCGCGCCCGATCTCTTGAGCTTCTTCCCGACGCTCCTGACCCCAATGACGACGAGCGGTGGTGGAATGGTGAGCTGTGGGAGTCTCCGCCTCAGCCCGCGACCTTGTGGGACCGGGAGTGGGACATCCAGTCCGATTTCATGAAGAACGTTCTTCGCTGGGAGAAGCGCATGGTGGCGGTTGGAGAGTGCATGTCGCTTGTGGCGATGGTTCTCGAGCAGTTGCACGCCGGCTTGGTGGCGCGGAACCTCGTGCTCTGTGATCCCCAGCTGACGGAGCCCTAGCAGGGTGTCGTTCGCGAGGCAGCGGCACAGGGTCTTTGGCGTCTCCTCCGTTTGCTCCTGGAGTCCGAGTTCCTTGACCTGGACGAGGGCCCTGGCGCGCGGGCTTTCCGGCAGGTCGCCAAGGCTGCCGAGGAGTCCCCCCTCCAGCTCGTCCCCGCCCTCGCTGTTTTGTTGCGTTGGATCCGCCGGCGGTTTTACGTGTTGAACCGCGTGTAGCGACCCGCCCCGCGCGGGCTTTGTCATTTGCCTTCTTGTTCCTCATATTTTGTTCCCCCTATTTACCTTGCCCGTGTTCTGTGGGCTGTACCTAGTACAACATCATGTATCTCTTGTCTTGAGTGTTGCTGTACCTTGCCACCCCTCACGCGCGGCCGAAGGCCGCCGGATTTGCAGTAAGAGAGAGGGCACCTCACCCCTATATACCCGGGAGCTAGGCTGGGATGGCTAAGGACTAGGCTGGCTAAGGAACTAGGCTGAAAAAAAATGGCTAAGGACTAGGACCCAAGGGTCTCTCTCTCCCTCTCTCAAGCAGTCCTTCATTGATAGTTTCATAGAGGTACAGGCATGGCAAGAACAGGTGCAGAACAGACCTAGTCCTATGAGCAGCCGGTTATGCATGGCAGGGCTAAGGTAGGCACAACGGGTAGCCAGGGAGAGGCCAGGCTAGCAAGCCATCTGTACCAGCAGGTCAGGACCTTGAGGGCAGGGGAGGAGAGGCAAAACACACCAGGGCAGGCACACAAGGCAAGGCCAACCCAAGCAAGGCAAACAAGGCAAGGCAAGGCAAGCAAGACAAGGCAGGGCCGGTAATGCAAGTGACTAACACTCAGCTAGACACCCATCTCGCTGCTATCCCGCTCAATGACCCATCACCCCATCCATCTCATCCTCCAAGACCTGCCAAAGATCCCCTAAGCTAGGTTCCCAGGGGTTCCTGGCCGTCTATGAGAAGGCCGCCACATCCCCTATGTTCGACTTATTCAGGAATGACGTGGCCTGCGAGCGCTGGAGCATGACGCTGAAGTGCTGCCTGTAGTGAGCGGTGAGCCGTGCAGTGGTGGTGGTGAGCCTCCCTTGGCGGAACCTCCTTTTCGCCGCCGAGGTTGCTAACAGGCGGATAAACTGCTGTGCATCCGTAGCTAGGGCACCGTATGTCTCCACTGCCAACCCAAAGAAACCCACGTAATCAGGCCGCCCCTCATATATCCTGTGTTTCCTCTCTGAAGCTTCCCTTGCCGCCCATCCAGGTGGCTTCCGGGCGCACTTGTCACGGCACTGCAGCACTGGGTCAGTCACTGTCACGTCTGTGACCCAAGTCTCATTCGACTCCTTGTCCCGAATAGCAAGATCTCTTCTCTTCCTCAGCACGGGTGGGGAAAAGGCAGTGGTTTCGTGGAAAACCGTGAAGTCGGCCTCCTTCGCCATCCGGAGCAGAGCGTACACAAGAGCATTGTGTGTGCGGACGACATCTCCCCCGTACCTACACCGCAAGTTCGCTAGGCTCGTATCCGCAATCGCAGCGTTGGTGCGTTTGCACGGGCAGGTAACTGTGATTGGAAGAGCCATGCCGAGGCGGAAGCCAAGTGCCAACGAGAACTGACCAGGGGCGAAAGTAAGGTCAGATCTCGTTGGGACGGCATGGAGCCAGTCCCCCGCGCCCACCCCTTGCAAACTGATGAGCCGTGCTACGTGCCCACGGTCCTTCCCCGGGCGGTCCTCTATTGTGTCAGCCAACAGCTCCGCTGCCCTCGTCTCATTGATGTGACGAGACAGGGTCAGTTGAAGGTTCCCCTGTCCCGCCGGGTGCTCCCTGTAAGTGTGTAGTGCCGCCCGTGCGGCTATAGGGAGCCCAGCTTCCAGAGTTGTCAGGGGGTTGATGCCGGGTGGGGCAGGGGTCCAATCGTGGCACAGCACCTTGACCACCCTGCTCAGGAGGTAGGCCTCAAGTAAGTTCATCTGCCGCAGCAACTGCTGCGCCGCCGTGACCGAGGCGATGTAGGCAGCAGGTGGCTTTCAGACGTGGCTTAGAGATGCTGAAGAGATGGGGGTTCAATGTTACGGGCATTATATTGGACGATGGAGCATCGTTCAAGAGAGTGTTGAAAGGTACAGGAATTAACCATCAGATGGACGTCTGACACAAATGTCGCGCTCTTACAAAACTGTTTGTGAAGCACTTTGTGGAGGCTCGCAGTACCATGAAGGTGTCTCAGGCCAAAACCTGTTCCGATTTGTGGTTGGTACCGCGGGAGGAGCTGTGGGAATGGTTGACTATGACAGGAGGAGATCTTGGTGGGATCTCTCTCTCTCTCTCTCTCTCTCTCTCTCTCTCTCTCTCTCTCTCTCTCTCTCTCTCTCTCTCTCTCTCTCTCTAATGGTCCGTGTATTGATATAACCAAAGGGGTACAATTATGCAAACTATAGCTAGGATTCAGAGGCAAACAAGCACAAAAACTAACAATCAAAGCACAAGTGTCTCTCTAGACCTCCATAAGAGGCTCAAGCACGGTACAGCAGTCCCCAAGGTGAAGCTCGGACTGCACCCCCCCCACGGGGGGATTTTCAGCGACTGCCGCTTGAGAGGACTTCATGAGGTATCCAACCGACTGGGCTCTTTGCAGAGCCACGGACCAGCGTTGCCTGAAGAGGTGAAGGAACCAAGCTGCATGGTGAGAGGTAGGTTGGGCATTGAAGTGACGCCGAGCAGCTGTATCCGCTAGTAACTTCAGAAATTTTGGGACCTCCGCACAGGGGCAGCCGTACGTTTCAACTGCAAGGGGGAAGAAGCCGACCATGTCAGGCCGGTTAGCGTAGTGGCTGATTTTCTTGTCAGCCTGCTCCCTTGCTGCGCATCCCCTCCCCTTAGTGGCATTGGGATCCCTAGTGCTAATGGGATCCGTGATGGTGACATCACAGGCGTAGACCGCCCCCGAGCTCTTATCACGCATGGTGAAGCCGGCGGTCTGCTCTTCTATGGGGCAGTATGCAGCTGATTCACTGTGAACTATGAAGCCAGCGTCCTGTGCCATCATAATACACGCACCCCTCAGTTCATTGTGGGTGTTGATCCTGTGCTTGCCCGTTCCGCAGCGGAAGAGGTGGTTTGGCAGCCGGGGGTCTGTGATCTCTACATGCTTAGAGCAGTCACAGTTTTTGGGTGTAGAGAAGGAAAGCCCCAGTCTGAAGCGGACGGCATTGGCGAAGTGCTCGGGACCAACTCTCTCTCTCTCTCTCTCTCTCTCTCTCTCTCTCTCTCTCTCTCTCTCTCTCTCTCTCTCTCTCTCTCTCTCTCTCTCTAATGGTCCTTGTATTGATATAGCCGCGGGTTACAAGCATGCAAGTCATAGGAGCAAAGGTAACAAACAAACACAGCAACAAATCCTTCCGACTACCACTCTAGAGCTCCAGGAAGGGCTCGACCACTGCAAAACAGTCCCCTAGGTTCAGTTCCTGCCCAATACCGCCTACAGGCGGGCTCTCTGCCGCCGTCGCCTCCCCTAGCTTGAGTAGGAGGCCCACAGATTGGGCCCGTTGAAGGGCCACCGACCATCTCTGTCTGAACTGGTGCAGAAACTTAGCGGCATGAAAGGATTTGGAGTCAGCGTTGAAGTGGCGCTGAGCCGGTGTGTCTGCTAAGAGTTTCAGGAAGACCGGTACCTCGGCGCATGGACAGCCATAGGTTTCCACGGCCAGAGGGAAGAAGCCAACCGTCTCCGGTCGGTTAGCGTAATGCTTGATCTTTTTGTCAGCCTGCTCCCGTGCCGCCCATCCCCTTCCTTTCTGTGCCTCGGAATCACTTGTGCTGATGGGGTTCGTGATGGTAACATCACACACATAAACCGCCCCGCTGCTCCTATCAGTCATGGTGAAATCGGCCGTCTGTTCCTCGATGGGGCGGTGGGCGGCCGATTCGCTGTGAACGATAAACCCCGCATCCTGCGCTAGTGCATGCGTCCCGCCGCTCATTGTGGGTGTTGATGCGATGCTTTCCCGTGCTGCAGTAGAGGAGGTGGTTCGGGAGGCGGGGGTCAGTGATAGCCGTGTGGTCAGAGCGGTCGCACTTCTTTGGCGTTGAGAACGGGAGGCCGAGCCGAAAGCACACAGCATTGGCGAAGTGCACAGGTCCTACACGTCTGTTTGGGGCAATGGGGATAGCAGTCAGCCAGTCACCAGTCCCGTATCCTATGAGCGATAACATCCACTGCGTATGGCCAGAGAGGGGTTTTGGCTTCATGCGCCTTGTGTCCTGGACCTGTACGGCGTATCTGTTGCCGTGGACCTTCAAACCGAGCACGTGCGGGAGCCTTATGTCCGAAGGTGATAGTTGCTCTTTCTCCAGAATCTCCCGCGCATCCACTGGCAACGCCGATTCGCACTCGGTAAGCCATGTGTGCAGTGGCGTTGTGTCGTCTCGTGACAAGAGCATGTGGTTCCTCGCCTGGGTCAATGCGTTTTCTGGGTCTAGCTCGAGGGTGGAGAGAAAGAGCGCTGCCTGGAAAAAACTTGCCGCGAAGCCTTATACCCCTTCTATTTAGGGGTCCGTGATGCCGATGCCACCTAGCGACGGTGACAAGGAAGCCTGCGCCCAGACACGTGTTTGCTCAGCTCTGCTCGTTGGAACGCGGATATTGCACGATACCAGCAGTGCTATTAGCAAGTCATGTCCCCACTGGCTCCAGCTGTCTCGGGGGAGTAGATGGAGTGGCGTCATTCTAATGAGGTAGGCCACGCGCCTGGAGATGCAGCGTGTGACTAGCAGCGAGGCTACCTGGGGGTCAGCACGTTCAAGGAGGGGCAGTGGCTTCGCCATTTCTTCTAGCTGTCCTGATAGGAATTTTGCCGCCCCAAAGTCGGGCCCCAAGTAGCTGCCCAGGAGTCGCACACCGTCTGTTGAATACGGCACTCCTGGCAGAAGTTGCGTCTGTTCAACCGTGCATGAGCTCCAGGCCGCGCACTTCTATGGGCTGTGCGTCAGGCCCAAGTGTGCCAGCTTGTCAGTGAAGAACATAAAGGCTGCTATAGTTTGAGGTGTCTACCCTAGGAAAGTGACGTCATCCGTGTATGCTAAGCAGAGTACGTCCGGATATGCCTCAGCCGTTTCTCGGAGTGTGGGGTGTATTCCCGCCGCGAATAGTAGTGGTCCGAGTGGGTCGCCCTGGCGAACCCCGCGTTCGCTTTTTAAAGGTCCGCTGTTGAAGTTAGCATCCAGGTACAGC